TGGCTTTGTCTATGGAATCCTAAAATGGTTAATTCCTAATTGCCACTAGAAAGGGACATCTGGTGGTTGCTTTCGAGAGATTTTGTACTAATGGCTAGCTCTAATTCTAGAAAATACAATATACACCACGCTAATCTCATTAATTGCATACGTCATGTACGAAGAGTGAAGTAATTTGAGTTTGTAACCGGGGGGACTCAATGGTGTTAGAAAACACTTACCTATGCAGACTTGAAGGTAAGAGGGATTAGACAGCAAATAACAGGTTACTACATGCGTAGTAAGAATAAGCTGTTAAAACACTAGCTCCAGTCTCAATCATCTTAACTTGATGAGTTGGTCTCAATGACTCAACGCCATTTACAACAAAGTGGAATTTTAACGAAGTTACTAACTCTGCGAAATTTAAGCAAATAAAATCACGCTAAGTCGAGACTGTACAAAAGCGCATGCGGACTTTTAAAACCCCGAAAATTGCTCTGCTTTCCTCATCTCGATCTTATGTAGGGACACAGAATTGTATAATTTACAGCAGCCTCTGTTTAATTGGTTAAAATCACAATCCAGTCATTTTATCATTGGGATAATTTATTTCGACAAAGTAAATGAACGAAACCAATCATATATTTACAATATCTGTCCGCAGATTATAATCAATATACCAATTAATTATGATGAAATCAATTTGATAGTCAAATAAAACGAGAACACGGTGTTTGTCAAGGAAATGACGTTTATGCCAAAAGAGTGTAGTGGCGTGAAGATCTCCCACATAATGGGTGTAGTTCCTTGATAGACCTTGACATTAAGCACTGGAGGATATAAAAATATAGTCAAATAAAGAAGCCAATTTGGAATTGAAGCTGTTTGTTTAATGCACCTACCAGCGTGGCTACTCCAAGAAAGATAATGAGCATTAAGAATACATAAACCCATCCGTGATCAATAAGTAAACCAACTAGACATGGGCCTACCGCCGCCCCTAAAACGGGAGAAAAAGTTGAATTAAAAATGACACTTCGTAAATGGAAAAAAACACTGGCATGATTGTATTACCTAATGATCCAGTTCCATCAATGATTGAGACAACGGTAGCGAGTGCACGGGCATTCCCGTGGAGCGATTCGTGGGTTCCAAGGTCAGCGGAAACAGCCGTGGTGATCAGGCAGTAGGGACCAACGATGAGGAAACCAAGAATTAACAACATGACTGGAGGCAAATGAAAACAAAAAGCAATTTCTACTTAAATGCATAAAGTAGTAAAGGAATATGATAGTTAAGGGAAAGACAGTGAAGAATTTCTCTGATATATTTTGGTACCGCTTTGTTAATGTACACACATAAAGTTTCATTACCCCCATTAAAAAAAGAGCAAACGAAATTTGCTAGAAGGAGGGTACTCAAGAGCAACTTTTTTTTTCAAGAATTTCATCTTCCACCAAGCAATGTCCAGAATTGACCAGTGAGCATTAGGAGAAAGACCATTGGTTTAATGGACATTGACGCTGACCACTACACGAATGGCACGTTTGAATACCCACAATACAAATACGATTCAAGCATGAAGACTTCCCTAGCTGTCGAATTTCCCATATTTTATCGCGTAGCATGTGAGGACCCTTTTTCCTAACCCAAGTCAACTTAATTTAATACATGAAAGTTTAATACCGAAGCGACCGACAACATGCATTCAATTATTCAAAAAGCTTAACGCACTTTTGCACTTCAAAAAGATCATTTTGGAAAGAGTAGCGAAGTTGTATTTCCGACAATATGCCTCTAAGAGAGAAGTTAGAAACGCAAAGAACTTAAATAATGGGAAAATGTTAATCTTCACTGTTATCTGCGAAAACTCATTACCGACCAACTCGCTAATTAACAGAAGTTTTAATCCACAATTTACGCGCTAGTGGGCGTATTTCAGCAATAATAATGAGGAGAACAAATAAGAATTAGAAATAGCGATACACAACTATGCGTTTTTTCTGAACAAATCGCCTTAAGAAAGGGTTAAATTTAAGCGGCAACTTACCGATACAAACGCCATTTGAGTAAGCTCCGGCCAGATAATATACGTAGAGCTAAAGGAAAGAGATTAGGCAAATCAGAACACGCCATTTAACACTTAGACACAATACGGAAGGTCTTTAATCAATCATATTATAAAACGTTTCGGAAGTTAGACAATTACACAAATACAGGGTGTTCCAAAAATGAGCTCAAAAAACTAAAAATAATCGCAACCATTGCATTCATTATAATTTCCTTACTTCAAATGTGCCAAAAAATATTTACAAATATCATTTCAATATTCATTTTAAATACATTTTACCACATTTTAAATAAATGTAATTAGTCCACCGCTTAACTGTTTGTGTTTTTTTCTTTGTAGATTCAACAACTGAACACAAGAATGACAGTCAGAATAAACTTTGAAGAAAGGAAATTTATTCTAAAATACTACTGGAAATGTTAAATTTAGGAATGAATTTTAAAGAAAAGCTTCAATGCGAGTTACCACCTTTAGAATTGGAGAATCTGTTGGAACTGGTGAGAACGTTCACAAACAGCGTTCCTCGGAAGACCACGAACATCAATGTCAATTTGAGCATAAATAGTGAAAAGCGATAAAACTATTCCTGAAAAAAATGCTTTTGCGCTTTTGAAATTAATAAAATCCTAATTAAACCCCACGTTTGCAATTAGTTTCACAGTGTATATGCATTTTGTGGGACAGCCTGTCCATTGGCAGGCTTTTCAACTATGAAAATTCTGACGTAAAAGTAGCGTGAAATCACTGCAATAATTCTGGGTAGCGTCATACTAACATAATGCAGGTAATATTTACAAATTTCCGCTCTATGGTACGCCAGAAAAAAATACGTTTTAGAACTCGAAATTACTCAAACTTCTTCAGCCATTCTCAGTTAATGATATAGAAAATTAAAAAAAATATTTTTAATCAGAGGAGGCTAAATCGATCGGTAATTTTCTATAATGAAATAAGATTTACCAAGGCGCACACTTGCAGTTTGAAGGAAAACTAATTGAACAATTATTATTTCGGTTAATAAACGCTTCAAATTCTAGACTTCCTACATGAGGGAAAGAAGTCAACAACTTACAAGGGGCATGCCGGGTATAATCATGCAAACACAGACGGTGGCGGAGCACGAGTATCGATCAGTGATAAACCCAGCAAAAATACCGCCTAAAATTCCACCGACATCGAAGATGGCTGAAATATCAGCTGCCAGAGTTGCATCAAAACTGTTGCTATCTTTTAGGTACTTGGGAAGCCAGAATAGGAAAATATAGGCAGTTGCTTTGAGGAAGAAAAGGCACAGCGAGTATTCAATAACTCCCTAAACACGGCAAAAAATGGGAAATGCAACAAAATAACGAATCTGGCGGTTTGAAGTTCACATAAATAGAGCAAGTTTGTAGATATTTCGATATAAGTAGCGTTTTAGATAATGAGAAACGCGTGAAAACAGGACAAACGATTAAATCCATTGAATTGTGAATACTTATTATGAAAATATAAATAATATTGAACATTGATAAGTTACGAGAATATAAGCTGAGCTAGGCTAGATGGAAATCGGTGAGAACTTCTGGTTCCTTGGAAATTGATGGCAACCTAAATTAACCAATCCACTAATATGCACTAAGCTAATCAGAGATCGATTATTGATATTTGATTTTATAAAGGCGAAAAATTGGCGTTCTATGTAGGCAAGTTCTTAACTATCCAAAGCCTAAAATAGAAAGAGCATTTTACTCCCATCTATAGCTATAATGAACCTTAATTATCCCCCACGATGAAAAATATGGCTTCGTATGATTATGAAATGAAATAATGATACACTTGAATGTTGGGCGTGAAACATGAACTCACCGGAACAATTAAGGCACCGAAAAATGTTATAGGTCGAACATTCTCCCTTGAGTTTGTTTGTGGAACAACGGCCACAGCTGAGGGTTCAATGTCGTCAGGTTGTCGATTCTACAGAAATAAAGAAAGATATAATACGTATACGAGGGAAATGTGTTTTAAAAAGCGAAAAATACCCTAATGATTGATTCGTGTTCCAGGGCTGTGTCTGAAGTTTGTACCGGAGCCTAAGATAAAAAAATGGAAGGTCAATTTCATGTGACAGACATTTGCCAGTTGGGGAGTGCGATAGACTTACCTCCACGGGGTGCACCCTGGACAACGTATACTCATATGGTAAAAGTCTACAAACCGGCAGTTGACTTCTGACTTCAAACTTCCATCAACATACTGTATGTCATATTCTACCACTTTCACAGTACCCACCTTACCTTTGCTTTTTCTCTACCTTTGTGTCTTTCTGTCTCTTTTACACCTGTGAATCACTCTTCTGCTCCCCCTCTCGACTTTTGTCACTTTGATGTTCCTCCCCTCTGTGAAGCTCTAAGTCAACTAACGAGTTAATGATAACTATCATAAAGCCTGGCATTGGATACTAATCACATTTGCCGATTAACTAGGTGGCAAAGTGGACACTTGTAGGAAATAAGGATTAGAAGACAAGCAGAAAGGAAGATAGAAAAAGGAGTTAAATTTCGATTTTTTGAAAATAAATTTTACCCACTCCTGGCAAAAATATAAAATGCCAATAAAGATTGAGAATTCCACCATTATTAAGGGCAAACTAAACTGCACAAGTCAACAGGTACGTACGTGGCATCTAATGTATTGAACACGACGCCTGATTTAACTCATTCACTGAACAGTTTAATTGAATAAAATGTCGCATTAGAGATATCCGGAGATGCAACCACCACCACCACCACCACCACCACCACCACAAAGACAGAAGTAGTCATGTGAAAAGCGAGTCACGTGATAAGAGCAGATAGACAAGCCTGAACAGCACAAACAAATGACATGTCCGAAATGCGTTCAAAAGTAGTCTAAGGTATAATACAATAGTTATAAAATGGCCCATCTTTAACAATTCAGTGTCCAAAATATATTTTTTTGAACAATACACCCAACCGCACTCACGCGTCACACAGCAGACGTGATGAGTTTTGGTGGGGTATCAGGCGAAGGCTATAGACACGTATTGAGCATGCTTCAAATGTCAATAGCGCCTTCTGCTACGAGTGCATTACTTTCAAGGAGGACCGTATGGTCCTGAAGGGCGTTAAAGGGTTAACACACAACAAACAACAAAGAAGCCTTTCTAAGATAAGAAGCAACAATTTGGCACTCACTTGATTTTGCTCTTCCTCGTTGGAAGACTCGTCGTCATGGTCGTCGTCCTGCAATAAAAATGGCATCTGTGGTAAGGCTAAGTTTATCACCTGATGCATTAATTAGAACACAACACAATAACAGCGCAGAGATTAACAAATTAAATATTGCGGTGTCCTGATCGGACCTCTCCGTTGTGCTATCCCAACTGTAAGCTGCCTATTCCATTTAGAAATGCGTTACCTAACAGAGGCAAAGCAATTGATATTTAATATATCTCGGAAAACACAAGGAAATAAGGCATTTGCAGTGGGAAATATTTGAAATGGTAAATGATTATTAACTTCATTCCGACACTAATATATTTATTTACGCGTCCCTGAAATAAGGGGTGCGGGATAGACTTACCTCCACGAGGTGCAGCCTGGGCAACGTATACTCATACGGCAAAAATGTATATTAACCGGCAGTTGATTTCTGACTTCAAACTACCATGACCCCATTGTATGTCATATTCGACCCCTTCCACAGTCCTCATCTTAACTTTTCTCTTCTTCTGTGTCTGTCTATCTGCCCCTTTTACATCTGCAAATAAATATTTATGTATTTATATCAAAAGGCAGGTGTTATGATAGTTATCATCACACTAATATATATAATAAGATCAAGGAAGCGTGTGATGCGCAAGGCGCCCCATGAAGAAGCCAATCTGAGACACTGAGAGATAGCTTTCTATCAATACGCCAAGATGAGAGCTAGTCTCTAAATTTTCAGGGGGCCTTTGTGCATAGTTCAAATGCGTCAAAAGGTGGAATTAAAAAGTACTTCATCCATACAAATGGGCTTTCCTCAAGCAATCGAAAAGAATAATCCACCCGGTCTATATCTTGCACCCCCCCCATTGAGGTGAAAGAAAGGGAGCAAAACAAAGGAATGGCAAAGAGCAAAAACAGATGAGCAGCCATGGCTGCTCGAGCAAATGCACTCGACACCACTTCTGATAAGTGGATTAAATGCTCTTGTTTCAATTAACTACAACGTAATTCAATAAATTATACATTTAAGTGGACCAAGGCTTAATTGCTACGCTGCTGAAATGGTTAATACATTGAACTAATGTTTTAAAATATTAATTGAATTGCAATTTCTGTAAATGGAAACATTTTGAAAGTGTTTCTTACCTTAGGGGGCGTGTCAGTAGGTGGAAACCCAAGATCCTCAGGAACTGAACAACAGAAAAGCAAATATAAAACTGGAAACACGGAGATGCGAAAAATCAAATGCACCATATTTACAAGGAACAAGGAAGAAATAGGATAGGATGCCGCTGAGAGCAACGATAGCCCCAGGAACGAAGAATGACCATCCCCAGGCGTAGTCAACGAATATTCCAGCAACTACACCACCCAGAATATTACCCAAACTGACGTGCGAATTCCAAAATCCTAGAATTAATCCACGCCTAGGATGGTAACAAAGCAATGAGATTATTTAATAAAAGAAACGGATTAAATGGCAGTTTACTGAATCAAGTAGCATTTGTTCAAAGGTAAAAGGGACTAGTCTTAGAAGTAGCTCTCAATAGAATTAAGGGGATCACACCTAGTGCTTCTATTGTGGGTTAATTGGACTGCACGCAAGCTCCTTGAAGATCTGACACCATTATCTAATACCCCTACCCCCCCCCCCCCCCCCCCCACCCACGTCGAGTAAGCACTCCAACTAAAAAACTCTCTTCACGACATCGAAATAACGGGGAATTATGCGTTTGTTTAGTGTTAAGTGAGAAATAACCAATTTACTTGATTTTTCATTTTAGTACAAATTATTTGCTTTAGTGGTTCAGATGGGCTTAATTCATTCATTCATTTTCCATGTCGATATGCATATATACGAAGAGAGGTCAACTCTTTCAAAGAACGCGTAGTAGTATGCCCAAACACCTTTTGAAAAAAAACCAATCAGATATTATCCTACGTGGGGTGTGCGATAGGCTTACCTCCACGTGGTGCACCCTGGGCAACGTATACCCATACGGCAAAAAAGTCTATTAACCGGCAGTTGACTTCTGACTTCAAAATACCATGGCACGACTGCTCGTCATATTCGACCCCTTCCACAGTACTCTTCTTACCTTTTTCTCTACCTTTGTGTCTGTCTGCCTCTTTTACATCTGTGAATCGCTCTTCTGTTCCCCACCCCTCGACTTTCTGCTACTTTGATGAACCTTCCCTCTGTAAAGTCCGAAGTCAGCTAAATGGCTATTGATAGCTATCAAAACGCCTGCCATTTGAAATGAATAAATATTATCCTACGTAACTTTTCCGTAGCACTGTATATATGAGAAAATATAGTACTTATACAAGTGGGTACCAAAATAACATAACCAGGGGGAAACGGTAAGAGAGTTTGCAAAAGGATTTCTCTGCATACGTTACCCAACTACAGAGAGTGTGGCGCTATTTCAGCTGGCATTTGAAGATATTTGCATTAACGCAGATGCTAGCAAAGAAAACAACATTCAGATGTGATATCTTAACTAATACGTCCATTGTAAGACCAAAAGCATTCCGAAACTTGATCCTTGTAGTACTCTCTGATTACTCAGTCCCGTGCAACAGTGCTGAAATACTGCTCTCCTTTCTGTGAATATTCACATGGAATTAGTCAGGGCAAACCATTGAGAAGATTAGGTGAATAGTCTTTCGCAACTATTTAATTTTAGATATATGGGCAATGCAAACTGACGAAGTAATTTATTGACGAACATTTGCCTACACGGCTTCACAGTTGTTTGGATTTGATGGTCAAAATTAAAAGGGCTGGGTGGGGGTGGGGTAATTTCGCACGGATTTACTCCCGGTTTAATTTAAACAAAAAAATGAGCTGATAATGATAGATTTATTTACTAGAGTGCACAGATGATCTCTCCACTTCAGTTAAATTTGTTTATACGACCAGTCTAGGAGTGCATAAATTCTAGCGAAAAGTGGAGAAAGTAACTCCGTTTTATCTTAAAATAAAGCGAATGCAAGCCACGAGGGCAACTAGTCATAACAGGTCTAAGGGAAAGAGGCCTTAGAATGGTATTAATTAGCAGATTTGACCAAGAGTGGTTTCTGGAACTTTAAAATGTACTTACTGACCGATCGTTTGGCCCATAAACCCCGAATGTCGCAGATTTGAATTCATTCAGAAATTCAGGGATCAAAGTGCGCGATGAAAGTTGTGAAAGAGTGGACAATTTATTGGTTCCATAATCAAAGTTAAATAAGATGCATGGTATCCAGAATTTGTATGTACTCCTCAAAATCTTCACACCTTCATCGCTTCAAAATTTTAAACCATTTCCCTACGGACAAATGACATGATAAAAGAAAAATAATCCATTTTTGGGCACGAAATAAGAGGTCGGGTATTTGGAAGCACCAAGAATAAAGAGTTATGTGGTGGTCAAAGTCATAAATAGGCGGAGACAATGCGCTATTATGAAGAACAGAGTTAGAAATCATAACTATAATACATATTTGGTTGGTAACTAAGTCATTGCCGTTTTTGTTGACGGATTCACTCTATACTTTCTTTTGTTCTGTTAACGTGGCCAGAGCATCTAACCTATATTTTTTTCTTACTGTATGAGCTTCTAGGTTAATTAGTAAAATTTTTTTTGTTTAGTTATTTAGTTTTGTTTTTATCCCAATTTAAAAATGAAAGAACAGGACGTGCACTTCCGACACATTTTATTGTATTACTTCCGAAAAGGCAAGAACGCATCGCAAGCACAAAAGAAGTTTTGTGGCGTATATGGAGATGAAGCCTTAAAAGAAAGGCAGTGTCGAAATTGGTTTGAAAGATTTCGTTCCGGTGATTTTTC